TTTCATATCTTATATCTCAAACTTTTACGACACAGAATAATGACCTATACACGTGCACTTCGTACGAAAAGGTTATCTTAGCCCAATGTGACTTACACCAATCAACACTCCTGTGTCAGCCCGTATCACAGCATGGGTGCGTCTACATGGTATTAGCCTTGATGTTGACTGAAGCAACATTCATAATGATTTCGTTCACACCAAAATTCTGACAAGAAAGACTAAATTATTGTTGTAAAAGACAATAGAATCAATATGATTAACTTGACAAACCTCGTCGTAAGCATTTTTTCCCGCCCAGAATGATAACAGTGCAATCATTACTATTTATTTTAAAGTAAAAAATATAAATAAATACTATAATATTCATAGGATACCCGCGCTACCGGTTTCAAAGCCCCCTCATGATTCACAGAGACCACAATGTAGCAATTAAGACCCTCCATTATCCCCAATTATTTCTTTAGCTACTCCAGTAAAAGTCCATCTCCGTAGAAAAACTAGTTAGGACATCCTCCCATGGAACCTGAGCATGTGTGCAAAGTTTAGTTTCGCTAGTTTGTAGTGAGGGTACGAACATAGTTTCCAAGATGACGCCCCCGAGGTCTAGAGGAGGTCCAGAAACACAAATTCCGATGTCAAATTCGGGTTCAGTGATCCTCAAAACCTACTATTAGATCCATCCATCATGTCTGTGTAACCTTAATCGTGGGCTACGCCACATAAACAAAAGAACATCCCCCTGACATCCCGAGCCAGCCCGCCAAGTTTAGTCATGCTAGTTCCAGAAATGAAGGGAACAATTCTATGATAATGTTTATTTCGAAAAATGTTTTTATGATCTTCTCTGTAGATCAGAGATTTTCCCTTATACAATCATCATGAATCATGCGTAACGTATATTTTGCTATACAACGCATGATAAGGGCTGCCTGGTCAGAGGCATAACGAAAACATGTTTGTGCAAGAAACTAGCCATTGTTTGTAAATAAATGGTCTATGCACAAGAATACAGATTAAGGCATAAAATGTTTATTTATTCATCTATCTATAAACAAAGTTCTTCACTGAAATTTAAAATGTTTATTTCCTGGAAAATTACCTAGGTTCAACCAACTTCACAGATCGTTAGAAATGCCCAGCAATGATACGGAGTTGTTGTGGTCATAGTAAATTATTTCACTTTTTTTAATGCACATTTTGTAATTATGGAAACAAACTCAGTTGTTGCGAAGAGAACAAAAAAAGGAAATTTTATTATCGGTTCTCATTCTTATTCAGTTAACAATTCTAGAATTTTACACGCCGTATATAAAAGCTGTAGGAATTTTGAATACGTTTCTCAGGTCACGAATCAATAAAGCCTAAAACATCATTCGTAAATAATGTTTTTTTGCAAACAAACGTAGGAACGTTACACACATAAATATACCTTATGTCAATCAAAACTTGTATGACTAAAAAAACGTATACTAATGTACACGTATGTTAGTGAGCGTTTATATTACAGTTCTTTCATCTTTATTTTCACACAGTAAATTACTTTTTATCATAACAACGTTTGTAAACTTTCCGGGGCTCAAGAGTAACTACAGTTCGAAGCTTAATCCTATAGAAATATGAGCTGAGTTCAATCTACTATGAAGATTTTAAGACCAATTCATAAGGTGGGCTATAAGCTTTTCTTAGTGTATTTAATACAAAATAATTAGATTAATAAATATACAACTTTGAATTTGTATAATAACGAGGACTGGTAATGGAAAAATAAATTCTGAATTTTGGTATCATTATAATGTTGTTTTTGTTTTGTATATATATATATAACATGAGTCTATATAAATCAAATTACTTTGTAAGTCATCTTTCAAGGCAACATTACTTAAAGTTCCAGGTGGGACAGCGGTAAATCATCGGATTTACAACGCTAGAATCAGGGGCTCGATTCCACTCGGTGGGCACAGCAGATAGCCACATCTGACTTTGCTATAAGAAAACACACACACACATTACTTTAAATGTTCCTAGTACTCTTTCCGTATGCAAATGATGTCTTAACCTTCTAAACACTGACCTCATCTGACATGCATGTCGAAATTAAATTTTTTCGAGCTTTAGTGAAATTTTAAATTTAAAAAAAATCAAAAGTCTATAAATAGATAATATACCACCAAAAGTGTTGACAACTATATTTGTCGTTTTCCTTTAGCTTTCTTAAATTACATGGTTGATTTGTTTGTTTGTTTGGAATTAAGCGCAAAGCTACACAATGAGTTATCTGTGCTCTGCCCACCACCGGTATCGAAATCCGGTTTCTAGCGTTGTAAGTCCGCAGACATACCGCTGTGCCATTGGGGGGCTACCTGGTTGAGGATAAGAAAATTCGCAGAGCCAATGGCTCACACAATTCTTTGTTTATGAAAGCCGGTCTCAAAAAGATAATGCTTGCACATCAAAACTTAAGTGGAAACAGCATTAAAAACCAGGAACTTTATTTTTTTATCTATCACAACGTTCTTTAATGCTCGTTTGTTTTCGGGGCGAAAGGGGGAGTTTTGAGCATTATTATATTTCTGATTTTGGCCTATCTCTGATATACAGAGTAAATATATTATGTTTTAACCACTTGCTTACCATAAAAGGTGTATTTGGTGCGCCCGCTATTTCTATTCTCAGCGTCCATAAGGACATACTTTTGATAAGATTTTCACATTGAATCCAGTGATAAATGATTTCTTGTGCTTTTATTCAATATAAAATTTCTAACATTTCATCAAAATTCCCAGTTTACTCTGATTTCTGGGATACAAAATCGATATTGGTGAAAGGGTTAAGGAAAGTTATAGTATGCAACCAAAAAGGCCATACATACATTTTATTTCTTTAAGTTCCTACCTAGCCCATAATTTGGTTTTTATCCCCAATGTTATCCTACCAAGACACAGCCTTCTTCTAGTTAAAAAAAAATCGCTTTACACTGCACGCTAGAATGAAAGGTTTAAAAGTTATCGTACTATACTATACCAAAGCATATTTTCCACTCTGATGCATCTCCTCTCATGCTCAACATTATACTCAGGTCGACACCATAAAAACGTTACTTTGTTCTTATTTCACATCTTTAACGTGACCTTATTATTGGACATGTTGCTTGTTTTCAAAATATTTTGAGACCACAGGTTTCTGAGAAGGATGAATCATAACAAAAGAGATCCATAAGTAAGGGTGGAAAACCCCGCTTAAAGAGGGTACTAAACGTTTAGCCTAAGACTGAGAGGTCATAAAAGCTTTTCTGTAGCTTGCTTGTTACTCATAATTAAGATTATCTATTAATAATTGTTATTGTAGATTTTTAGCACAGTTTCAACACAGTAGAAAATAGTATATTAAGAACAGAGTTTCAACTCGTTTAAACTTTGCTTTTCATCATAAGTTTCAACACATTGAGAAGCCGGGTGTAAAGAGCAGAGTTTCATTTTGGTTTGGTATATTTTGAATTTTGCGCAAAGCTACACGAAGACTAACTGCGCTAGCCGTCCTAATATAACAGTGAATTATTTGAGGTTCATTTTAGAAAATTCATTATGCCTGTTTTAAAATGTTTAAGAATTTTATTACAAATAGAAAATAAAATAAAAATCCGACAGCTATTACAATGTCAGCCGAAAATATATAACATGTGTACTTACAAAATTGCATGAAATAAGATTAAAAAAAATAAATATGTGTGCAACGGTGTGTAAACAATGACAGATATGAAAAAATATATATATTCGTCTTGAAAAGCGTTACCTGTATCCCATTAAGGAAATCAATACATGTGACTGCATCACTTGGCTGCAAATATTCAGTGAGGCGTGCATCAAATTCCACAGATAAATTACCAAAATATCTTATTTAGTGCACCAACTACTTTGTCTTTCCTTGGTAAGTATATCTTCGAGCACATGGTTCATCCATTTGAAAATCATGTAGCATGTGAATCACAAGTAAAAAATATCATTACACATGTTCATGATGACTATTTCTTATTGATATTAGTGCTAATGGACTGAGGATTCTTAATTTTTTTCAACATTATATATATTAATACCAGCTGGAGTATCCGTTCCCTGGACGGAAGTTTTGTAAATTCATGATTAATGAAAGGTTATGAAAGGACCTGAAAAGTTGCTTCCTATATATGTAATTGTAAAAAACGCCCATAAAAATTGTAAAATACAAAATGTGAAACCGCAATTTTGCGTGCATCTCTGCATAGACCCAAAAAAACCTTCCTGCCAAATTTGGTGAATATCTATCAACAGGGGGCGAAGTAGTGGTAAAAATGAAAAACGCCCATAAAAATTGTAAAATACAAAATGTGAAACCACAATTTTGCGTGCATCTCTGCATAGACCCAAAAAAACCTTCCTGCCAAATTTGGTGAATATCTATCAACAGGGGGCGAAGTAGTGGTAAAAATGAAAAACGCCCATAAAAATTGTAAAATACAAAATGTGAAACCACAATTTTGCGTGCATCTCTGCATAGACCCAAAAAAACCTTCCTGCCAAATTTGGTGAATATCTATCAACAGGGGGCGAAGTAGTGGTAAAAATGAAAAACGCCCATAAAAACCACAAAACGCAAAACTGAAAATT